CAGCAGGAAAGAGAAAAAATGGCTACCTAGGAAATGGTGATTCTGATCATCCTTATGCTCAAGTGGAGCAATATGCAAATCTGAAGCAACCCTTTGGAGCTTCTTGCAGTGGGGTCACTTCACAGGATAGCATCCACAAACATAGACCAAACATGGATTCTAATTCTTTAGGACACATACAGATACAGACTGACCTAATGCACCCAGACTATAGTCATACTTCAAATTACACTTCCCTCCTTCCAACTTTGTCTGGATCTATGTCTGAACATGATGGACATCCATCTCCTTCTTTTAAAGAATCATCATTTGCATCAAACATGGAAAGTTCTCATGGTCATAATTTGGAGGCTGTTGCCTTGAAAACAAATGATGAAAGAGATAATTTATATCTTTGCCAAGATGCACAACTACTAAGTCCGAGTTTCAAAAGGGAAAATATGGAAAATCCTGTGCCATTCAATAGTCCAGGCTCAGCTCAGATGGTAGTTCATCAGTTTGAAAATGAGAATGAGGGCCATAGTGAAGTAGGAGGAGTTAGCATAGGATTTTCACAAGAAATAGACTCATCAAATGTGCAGGAAAGCTCATCTATGAGCTCTGCATTGGATGAAACCTCACACGAAGCAACTAGCTTTCGCCAGCTGCAACAGGTCATGGATCAGGTATTGGAATCTTTTGCAATGTCATAGCTAGATTCTGTGTTCTTTATTAGTGTCTGTCTCTTGGACTTTGAAATCAAAATTAACATTCCAGCATCTGAATAATTTTGGTTTCTTCATGATAATGGATTTTCTTGTTGGGGTTGTGTTAACAACATATCTAATTCTGCTTGGGCATATAAATTTTGTAAATTTGGTGCTCCTAAAGCACAGTATGTTAGCTAGTATTAACCAAAATCCTGGGATTTGGCTCTTTGAAAAAATTCCATGTGTGATTTGGTAACTCAAAAGTGAGAATGCACTTTGAAGGGAAGAGTATCAAGTCATAACCTTTATTTAGAAAACCAATGGCTTTGTTTGAGATAGAATACGAGATTACATGCGCATGTTTAACAATCTATAGCTGTTAAATGCATTCTCACGATTTTCCAATCAACAGTTATAACTTTGCACTATTAATTGTACAGTGAACCCCTCAATCAAGAGGAACTAAACCTATGTTGTGATGCTATTAAAGTTAATGCTTACTTATCTTAATTGCTGATAATCTATTTCTTGATTAAAAAATACTTTCCAAAACATTAAGTTTGCTCGATTGCAGTTGGATATTAGAACCAAACTATGCATAAGGGACAGTCTATATCGATTGGCTAAGAGTGCTGAACAAAGACATTATGATACCAATGCAATTGGTCAAATTGGTGATGATGTTGAAGCCTGCAAATCAGTAACGACACAGGATGCAAACAGGTATCACTCACTTCATTGATTTCTCATTCAAATTTATATTTCTCTTGGGTCTTCACTTCATTGCTAAATACTGGTTCAATGTAATTTTGACTTTTAAGTAGGTTTGTGGTTTGCTTATATGGCACTTGTAATACACTCAAATATGTAATATTCTATTCTTTTTTAGTCATCAGGTTTTAATAGATATGAGAAAAGTGAAGTATCCAAGACACGGAGAATAATATATTTCTTGACGTGAAAAGATGCTATCATGAGTTAACATCTATTGTTAGTTGAAACTTTTACTATTACAGTATAATCATGCTGCCCTTTTCCTCCCACTCCTTTTTCAAGGCATGGACAATTGAACCACCTAAATTGGCTAAGGCCAAGGTAGATACACCCAAATTGGTATATCATAATAAGAAAACACTTAAACTAGCCTAACAACAACTTCAAGTGTTTGAACCTATGGTAAATACTGAAGGTACCAACCTTATTGTTCCTGAATTTAATACTTCAAATATTCATGTGATCTTAACTCGGATGAATGAGTTGAGAATATGGGAGATTGTCGAAAATTCAGTAGATAAATGACCAGTGGAGTGGATATATTACCTTGAGATATCAGTCTGCTGGTGCACTAGATAAATAAAAAGCTAGGTTACTTGTAAGAGGGTACACTCTAGATTTATGGGCCTGACTATTTGGTGACATTTGTCCTGGTAGCAAAGATGAATATTGTGAGAATTGTACTCTCCCTTGTTATTCATCAAGGATGGGAATCGCAATAGTTTAATGTCAAAAATGCTTTACTGCATGGGTACTGGGAGAAGTGTAGATGGAGATTCCATTTGCAGAGCCCAAGGCCTTATAAACTTCACACCAAAATCCCATACTTTCAATGTGGGACTCAAGTCTTGCATATTGCAATTGGATCCTAATATATCCCAATGCATTCTGCAACCCCAGTACCCCCCAAGAGCTGGTTAGCAAGAGCCCTTTGATCAGTCCCAGGCGAACACCAATGCTGGTGTCAACACCCACACCATTTGTTTGTAGTTGAGAGACATGGTGAAAAATCTCTCATACCAATTGTTATAAGTACTCTGGGAGAACCACACTGTGAAAGTTAGCTGTTGTAGTTGGAAAGCCATAGGCCTTTATAAACCCCACATCAGAATTCTTACTTCCAGTGTGAGACTCAAGTCCCATGCCTGCAATTGGGTCCTATTATAAACTTACTCTCATACTTGTGTACGTTAATGATTTCATTACATTAGGTGATAGCTTAGCTGACAGACAATTACTAAAAGAAAAATTAGTATCTGAATTCCAATTGGTCGGAAGGTAAAGTAAATTCTTCGTATTGAAGTGGCTTACTCCTAGGAATGCAGTTTTATTTTTCTCAATGGAAATATGGTCTTGATCTTCTAAAAGAAATGGGAAGATGGATTTAAACCTTTTAGTGTTCTCATTAAGCATAATCAGAGGATGGGAGATGACATAAAGTCTCAAGGTTGGAAGAGCTCAATACAAGATGTTCATAGTTAAATTGGTATTCCAGGCACTACTAGGCCATGTTTGGCATATGATACTAGTATTGTTAGTTCATGCATGACCCAAGATTAGGATGCTTGTAGGTAGTGTCTTAAGATTCTTCCATATCTTAAAGCTACATCTGGCAGAGTTTTATTGCTAAGGGTGAAGATCTAACTACGGATATGTGGGAGTGGATCCTTTCATGTACATGTGTGGTTGTGTTCATCTCTCTCTTGATAATTGATTGGGCTTGTTTAATTTATAAAATTATATTACGAGAGATAATTACCTGATTTGAATGTGACCTTGTCATGTCAAAATTTGACATGAAAGGATCCGTTCTTATGGAGGTATATAAAATGCAGCTTCATGCAGGGTCAATCACTAGTAGGAGGTCAACATTGTATTACTGTATATTTCTTTGGCGGAAGCTTAGTTGCACGGAGGATCAAGTAGCAAACTGTTGTGGCTCAACGAAATGTAGAAGGCGAGTTTTGAGCTATGGAAAAGGAATGAAGAGTTATTATAGAAAATTATGTTAGATGGACCTTGGACTAAATTATGAGACTCCTGTAAGGCTATTTTGTGACAACGAACACCATTGGAATTGTTTAGTGTTGTTTATTCTTGACAAGACTAAACATGTTGAGATATAATAGCATTTCATTCAAGAAAAAATGGATAATGGATTGATTACTACATTGCACTTTCAGGAGTTCTATTAGAAGATGTGTTAACACAAGGTAATGGTAATGGTAAATATCCATTCACCAAGTTTAGGGGGAGTAGCTTAACTCTATTTAAGTTTTAACTATCTCATTGGTTGAATTGTAGTTGTTGTAAATTAGGTCGATGTTTAGTAACCACGTTTTTTGTTTTACTTTAGGAAAATGGTTATTCTGCTTTATTAACTAATGTTAAGCCTATAAAATGAACACTGAATGTTTCTCAATTGAAACGAGATTTTCGTGTTTTTGCTCCATTATTTGTTCTTAGCTTACATTGATATTTAATATATGTAGAAAATTGATGTTTATTTTTTAATGTTGTTGATAAGTTTAACACCTTGCTCTATTCAGGTATACGGGATTCATGAATATGGAAACTAATACAAATCCCATCGATCGAACTATAGCACACTTACTGTTTCACAGGCCTTCAGATCCATCAATGTTGCCCCATAATGATCCTTTACCTTTCAAATCCAGTTCCATGGTATGTTTTAATCAATCATTAAGATGCTTCAGTGAAAGTAGATAATTGGTTTTGGTTGATAGTCTCATCTTCTGGTTTAACAGTTACGTGGTTCGGTGATCAACCCAGCAGTAGTGACTGAGAAGCAGATTTGTCAGGAAGAATCTTCTACTGGAGTAGAAAAGTCGTGTTAAAGGGTAACACCTCGTGAAAAGAGAAACTAGCGTTAACTTTATTTTGGGGTACAATGTCATATATGATGTATAATTATTCGGAGACTTACCCAGATCTTGTTAGTGATTCATTTTTTTTTTTTTTCATCCGATACCATTATATTGATGCATAAATGGCCGATCATCAATATAAGGTAGCGTATGAGTTTTTCATGTAAAAGAAATAATTTTTTAGTGTAGGCTTTTGATTTATAAGTAGTCAACCTTCTCAACCCAATCTCATGTTTAATAAGTTTTTATTAGATAATTATCTTTAATTATTGCATTAAAAATTTCTAATATATAGATCTTGATTAAAGAAGTATGTATTTTTTTTATGTTGGTGTTGTTAACGTGTTTTATATTGATTTGTCTTGCGGGTGTTTGATATACAATTAATCATGATTTTTAAGAATGATACAAATCTGTTTGGTTAATTATAAATATTTTTGAGAATGTTTATAAATATTACTTGAAAATCTAGAGTTTTTACAATATTAAATAAATAAATAAAGATATCATGACATTTTTATCATATTAAAATTTTATTGTTGTCTCGGTATAATTAGTTTCTCACTTTTCTTATAAAAACATTTTCATAGAAAACTAATACAAAAATGATTCTCAAAAAATAGAATATTGTTTTTTAGGTAACAAATCAAATATTGGAAAGTAAAATTCTTGGCATCAAACTTTTGAAAATGTTTAAAAAAATCATTTACCAAATGCATCTTAATATTTCATTCATTTAACGCGAGGAGACTTACATGTACTTGTTTTCCTTTTCTTCTCACTTCCAAATGATAATTATGTAAATTGTGGAGATGACTATTTTGAAATTAATTTTATCGAAAATATTGTCTTAAGAAATTGATATATATATTCGAACTGGACTAATTTAAATTACAATTAAAAATTACAATAAAATAAAAGTTTTACCTCTATCTTGAAGTAAAAATAAAAGGAAACCAGGTATTTATTTTTCTAAACTCTAGGGGAAAAAAATATTATAGGGCTAAACTATCCTTCGCTTGAAACAATGTATTAATGTTTTACTAATAATTCATCTTCAAAAAATGAAATTCAATTTTACTATTAAGAAGACAATAGTTACTGTTAAAAGGCAAACCAAAAGAAAAGTTATTAGTAAGGGGGGATAGAATTAAAAAAAAAAATTAGGAAAAAATATTAAAATAATTATTTACTAGGAATTGAATTTAGTTAAGATACATATTATAAATCACTTTAATATTATTGGAAATCTCACTTCATCTAAAAATAAAGTAACTAGAAATAAATCTATAATAATATATATAAATAAAGAATAATCTTCATCTTATAAATTTATTTTCTAAAAAAAAAATATCAATTATTTCATGGTAGTGGAAATAAATTTAAGAATGGAAATATATCCCAAGCGTGTGGTTCAGCGGTAGGGGTTGATCCACGCTTAAACAAGGTCAGGAGTTCAAATCCTGCCTTATGTATGCAACCGCGTTAAATCTTGGGGCCAACTATCCCACCCTTTGAGGTGTCTCTAACGTAGCCAGAAGATTAGTTACCGCTATCGGTAGTGGAATACTCCAGGAACGAAAAAAAAAAATTAAGAATGGAAACACCACATGCAAGATGTACACACTAAACAAATTTCATAGAATCATAATTTGTCTTTTTATATTAACAAAATAATATGAATGTTTGATAAAGAATAAGACTATTGGTCTTCTATTTTATTTGTTAATTTAAAATATTCTAAATTTTATAATAATTACTAAAACTAAAAAAGTTAAAATATTTCCTAAAAACTTAGTTTTATTCTATAACTTATTAAAAGTTTAAAATATTTCTCTCATTTAAAAATGATTCAAAATCACACAATCACAATATTTAAAGTTAAATCGTTGAATCAAAATTTGATAAAACAAATTGTTTAACTACCAAAATTTGATAAAACAAATTGTTTAACTACAATACTCAAAAGACTAAAAATATATTTAAATTTAAAAACTAATAAGAGAGCTGTTAAAACATTATCAATAAAAAAAAATATTTTTTATTTTAATTATTCAAACATGCCCTAAAAACTGCATTTATGAAGGAACGCTTCTTCTATGATTACAATACATAAACACAAAGGGGACATTTGGTAGTCTAGTTCAGATTCAAGAGTTTTCTCTCTGAACGAACAAAAATTTAACTTCGGCTACAAATATAACACCGTAATTAGTCATATGTTGCAACTTGCACTTCTGATGGCATGTTAAGAAAGTTTGTCAATTTAACAGCATAGTCCTAAACACATCATATTATACCAGGTAACCGGTAACCTACAAGGAAACACAGATAATGCTAATCATACTGTTGCCTTAGCGCCATTTCTGTTTCACTTTTCCAAGATGCATGGGATGATTGGCCCCTCATCCTTTTAGATTTTTCCTTATCTTTGATAGTTGATCCTTTCTTCTTGGACTCTGTGCTGGTATCCTTTGTAGGGCGATCACCACATACAGGGCAGACTATTCCACGCGCACTGGAGTAGGTCTTCGGAATCCCACACTGCAAGCACATTCTGCATAGAAAATGAAGCACACTCAGACTAGCAGCAACAAAAAAATCTATCCATCCGTATATGAGATACAACAGTTAGTCTGTAACTTATTCCTCGGGTTACTGCAAGTGGAACTTCGTTATCTATTCGAAAGTTCGTATCATAAAACTTTTTTTTTCCAAGATACCCCAGTTGAATATAGAGAAGATAGAACCGAATATTTGAGAATTTAGGAAATGAAAATGCTTTATTATTCAAGGAAATGTCGTACATAGGTTCTGCATATCATCCATTTATATAGACTCTTGATTGACTTGGTAGAGACTATTTCCTTGACTAAAATTAATCGAGTGCAGCTCACTAGACACTAATACCCATTAACACTAAATGTATTTTATGTGATACATGAACATACAAATTCCCAAGTGCATAGTGCATACAATTATTATTTCCAAGTTCCAACACCTACCGTGAACTTACAAAGGAGCTTTATGTGCAGACACATAAAACACTACTTACTAAGGAATAATGCATACCTTAAAAGCTCTGAAGCATCTTCAGCGTTAGGATTTGTTGCAGTTGGCACCCGTTTGCCTCCTTCTGATGTGCCCAAGGCAGCTGATGTTGGTGGTTGGCTACCATTGATGTCACTTCTTACTCGCTCATGAATCCCAACTAGTTGAGGTTTTGCCTCTACCACCACACCTATATGAAATGTATCATAAATATTATACTTCCAAAATTAATGGGAATGTACTGTGTACACCTAAATGAAATGTATCATAAACTTCCAAAATTAATGGGAATGCACATTCATACTCATTGAACAAGATTAACCCGCAAAAAGCAAAAAATATAGTGAAGATTCTTCCATTTATTTTTAACAAACTACCAGCTGAATTAATACATCACAGCAATGTGAAAATCATTAGAAAAAAATATTTTAACTGTTCCATAGTTGTTTTCCCTGATAAAGTGCATTTAAGATATAGCAACTAAAGCAACAGCACCAGAAGCATTTTGAAAGGGAAAGGGCTTAAGGGCCTTTAAAACTTGATAAGCAAGCAGCCGTGAAATTTATTTATCTAGTTTTCTTTGAAGCCAAATCAGAAGCATTTCTATCTTTTGTGTGTGTGACAGAGCAATTTATTCAGGAAAAGATCTGTATTAATATATCTTCTTAAATAAACAAATCACAAAGAAACATTGGGGAAAAAATTCGAACTCTTTAATGTCTTAATCTAATTCCTTGGCACTCGTTTTAATTTTGTATATTGTCAGGAGTCTCAACTCTCAATTAATGGTGGAAGACTCAAGCTCAACATTCAATCATTTACAGGGGGATCAGCACGTGATAAGAAGTGGAAAACACAATAATCATCCAATGTTTGAATTTTCAGTAATTTAAAGCATTTGATAGGGTATACATAATGCTTCCACACTATCTGTCCATGGGCACACAATAGAAAGCCTTGTTTTTATTTTGTTTAAGTGATGTTCTGGTAACCATTAACCAATCTTATAAAAATCAAAGACCCTAACTTACAGAAACTTTTTAGTATGAAAAGTATTTTATTAATTTTAATCCCAGTACCATTCATGGAAGAACGTTCACAAAAGATCACCAATCAAAGAATATGCCATGTTAAAAATCTATTACAGCACTGACTAGTGGTGTGTTAAATCCACATGATAAACAAATTTCCCCAGAAGCAATTGCGATTGTACACCAGAAAATCCTAAACCATTCACCCACATGACCATAATAAGGAGTTATAGCATGGACACCCCTTCATTAATCCACCCCAAAATCAGGCCTACCAGCTGAACTTACACAAGTAACTAATTAACAACGCGACAAATCAGACACATACACTGATTACTCTTTCTAGTTGTACTCTATATCATGTCTATGGGCTTGTTACGATACCAAAAGGAAAAATGAAATAATTTTCTTCATAAATTAAGTTAAGCTAATTTGTAGAAGTTCTCTCATATTAACTTCTCTAAAAACTTATTTTTAACTTATGCAAGGAAACTGTCCAAAAACTCATTGCCAGCACCCTATGAATAGCAGCTTGTCACGTTGACAAGGGAAAGATTGAAACTTGACGATATCTCAATTCTAAAACTCAGTGCTTTGTCCATTAGTTTAATTTTTCATCAGTAAAAGTTACAATGAAGACAAGAAAATTCGAACTTAGGACCTCGTGCATACCTCCTCAATCTCACATGTACAAGGCCACATATTAACTTAGCCTAGATATCATGGTCTAAAAATTATAAAAATTATTTTTTCTCCACTTTAAATATTAGAGGAAACACAAAAAGAAGAGGGGTTCTAGTTCTAACCAGTTATCTTAATTTCCCCTTTAACCAAAAAATGAAAAAGAAATGAAGCAATGAATATTGAACACCTGTGGGTAAATCTCTCTTGTCCTTGTCCTTGCGGCGCCTCCTATTGGCATGCCTCCCTTGTTGCTCATCAGCGTCTCTCGAAGGGTCGTTGCTGTACTCTTCCACGCTATTGTTCAGAAATTGGGGCGGTCCTGAAATCTCCGTTAGGGCAACACGACAGGTTCAGTTCAATGACGGATTCCAAAATTCGATAATTTAATTCCCAAAGTTGAAAAGAGAAGGAAAGGAAGTTACTTCGGAGAAAGCGTCGAATGCAGAAGGAAGACCCGACGCAGAAGGAGGGTTGGGGTGGTGGTCGAAGATGGATCTGTCGCCCAGAGAAGGGTGGGCCGCGGTGGCTGTGGCGGCGGCGGCTTCATCGGCGGAATCTTCGGCGTCGGAATTGTGGGGTTGAGGTTGGTCTTGGTCTTGGTCTTCGGCGGAAGAATAGCCTTGAATAAGGGACAAACTCATCGTGTGGTGGAAAATGGAACCCTACTGAAGCACTATTTCTCAGTTCAATTCATCGTATCAACCATGGATGAATGATGATGGACATTTTCCACAATTTTCACCTGTTTTCAAAAAGAAAAATAAAATAATCGAAATTATAAATATTTTATGAATTTTAAAATTTTAAAGTTTATGATTATTTTTTAATAGTCTTTTTTTTTCTTCTAAAACTGATTTATTACATAAAAAGTATTTTTTTCAAATAAAATTAAGTATCTCAGACTTATTTTTTAATAAAATTATATAAATTAAAAATATTAATTATAATCAATTATTGAAATAATTTAATTTCTATAATTTTCTTGCACGCACTTTTACTTTCGAACAAAATTATATAGTTTGTAATATATTATATGTAAGTTTAAAAAATATATGAATAATTATTAATTTTATGTATTTCAAATACACCTTTTAAAAACATTACTTACAAAATATTTATTAAGTAACTTTTGTATTTTTATATAAGTTAATTACTATTTATTTTGTTATAAGGTTGATTACTATGAAATATTATTAAATAATTATAAAGAAGGTTTAATTTAAATAATTATTTGAAGAGTGTATGAATTGTTATAAATTCTTTTATTGTCGAGATTATTTTACATGGATAAAAAAATAAAAAAAAAATAGTTAATATTTTATAGTGAGTTTAATGATTGAGGGTTTGAATATTTTATACTTTTTAAATGCTACAATAAAAATATAGAATTTGAACGATTTTTATCCTATAAATTTGGTAAATTCATATTTAGTCACTCTATTTAAATATCATCAACTTCAAGTCATTCATTTATGAGAGTGTATTACACTCTTCCTAAATGTGATGTGTGTTCATAATCTAAGTGACATTACACATGATAGTTAGCTCCACATCACTTAAACAAAAGCTCCAATAATATTATACAAGTTAATGATAAGTGACTCACTTGGATAATGGATTAATGGTTATTTAGGTTCTTGTGATGTAACTACAAATGTTAATGCAAAATTGTTTGTTATACACCTTGGACTTCAATTGCCTTGGTTAGACATTGACATTGAATTGTGAAAAAAAAATCCATGCACTTTAGTTGGTGTTAAAGGGTGTTAATTCACTTCACCTTTATGCTCTTATTGTAAACAAGATTCATAACTTCATGATCAAATCTTGAGAGATGACCTTACAACATACCCTTTAGAGAAGACAATGCATGTTCTTATTGGCTTGTTAGAGTTGATTCCCCATTTCAATAATCCTTCATATTATGTGACTCATGTTGTATTTCTCTTAATTCAACAATCATAATCTTAGTTGTTACCTATATTAGAATCAAGTTGTGTTTTATTGTTCATACAAAAACAAAATAGATGCTTATAGGTTTAAAATTCTCAAACTAAAGACATAGTGTCATCTTGTTACAAAAGATAGGTGATGAAGTAGAATTATGGGGCAAACAATGAACTCACAAAGCAATAGGAGTACAAAGAAAGACATATCGTTGCAACCTAAAAGGAGGATGGGTAGCACAAAATCCAACCCATCTTTGTCAAAATAATAGTTTTTTTTTAGATAAGCTTGTGGTGTTGACATCCAATAGCTCACATAATTTTATGAGAGAATTTTGGAGATGTGTAAATTGGAATGTAATGCAATGGATTTTTGTAGTTTGTTATGGAGTTGTATAGTTAAATTGTGGAATATAATAAAAATTTGGTCATGTTATGAATTTCAAATTGTATTGGTTGTTTACTTGATAATGCATTTTGTAATTGTTAGTAGCTAAAAGATTCCAAATTTCACATTGCTAATGGGCATGAGTTTGAATGTCAATTATTATATTTTATTTAATTTTTATGCTTTTGTTTTGTATTTGTTATAGGTTAAATTATGTAATAGATTCATTTTATGAATAGTGTTGGTAAGTTGTGTTAATTTGATTAGCAATATCTATAATAACCTAGAAGTCGTTACATGACACGGTAATGTACTTCTCACAAAAAAAAAAAAGAAAAAGTTTCCCTTATTTTCATATTCAAAATCTTTTAAATTTTTAGTGTAAAGACATCAATAATTTTCTCTCATTTAGAAATAGACATAGTTCATGCTCCTTTTGCAAAAATACAACCAATTAAAAACAAAGATAATAAGTGTTGTGTTTTGTGACATTACCATCTTAAATTTATTTATATAGGGAATATACATCAATTCAAAGTCATAATTTCTTTCTTATATTTGTCACCACTGCAAAAAAGTAAATAAAATATAGAATTGGATCTCCATTTTCAATCTATCTATAAAAAGCTACACACACTAAAATCTTCAACTAACAAAACAACATGTGTCAACCAAGAATGTATGCTCTCATATCAAAGACACAATCATCTCAATTCACAAAAGAAAACAATAAGGATAAAGTCATTTAAAATAAAACTTCAAATTTAAAAAGAAAGTAAATGAAATGTTCCCCTAACCATCAAACCACTCTTACACTTATCATGACTAGGTTTGCAATGATCATAACATTATGTAGACTTCACCCCACCTCCTATTTTATAGGTCTATTTAGTGTTAGTCAACACCAAAACATTTCAGCACTAGGTTAAGACCCTATCAATAAACATTTCAGCACTAGGTTAAGATTCTATCAAGCAATCACAACTTATGTGTTTATTTATATGTAACAACAATTATGCATTATGTGTAAATGACAACAATTCATATTAATACACTAGTCATTAATCCAAGTAAGCCATCTCATTTCATTAACAATTACATAGAGTTCAATTTATTCTTTTAACTCACCAACAGAATACCCATTTAGTAATCTTTTAAGTTTGAAATAAGAATTCTAATAATGAATTATTGTTCTCACTTCACATTTGTTTGCAAGACAATTTCCAACACTTCATTAATTGAGAAAGTTTTCCAATGAACTTTGTGTGTATAAAACATTCCATTAAAAAAATCATTTTTTAGAAAAGAAAATAAATATTTAAAAATTTAAGCAAAAGAGCTAAATAAAGGAGGTATATTGTATTTTTAGTCTTCTATAATATCTAATCCATAATTTCAAACCCATAGAAAATCATGCGAATTTTGTAGTGTATTTGGATTAATGTAAAAAAGCACATATATGAAGCATTTTTATTTTTTTTTGCATCTGATTAGTAAAAAACATAGAAGTTACATAAAAAATAGCTTTTGATGTAACACGAACCAACTTCATAGAAACATGTAACCAAACGTTTAATAAACAACATGTATAAGCTTTGAGTTAAATACTATAACTAATATGTCACTTTTAAGAGTGGAGACTTTGGACCAATTTTTTTAAGAAACAAAAGTGAGATAATTAAGCACCATATTGTTTCTTAACAAGGCTTGTTTTTTTATTTATTTATTTTGGAATACTATTTTATATTGTTTATTTGCATGTTACAAATTTCGTATATATTTTTTATGTTATTTCTTCTCAAATTCCAATTTTTAAAAATCCTTATTACTAAATTAGTCTTTTCTGTTAAAATATATTTTTTTAATCTTAAATCCTAATTCTGATTCTATTTACATTTTCAAATTAACCTTTTTAGTTTTCTTTTTTAAAATTACCTTTGTCTTAAATCTAACCTATTTATTTTTCCTTTACATTATTTGATTCAATTATATATCACTTTTATAATTATCAATGTTGTTTTTTTAGATATTTTTATTTAGATTTATATTTTAAAATTTTATCTAACCTAGGCCTGCGAAAGGATACGCGTTAGTTTGTAAAACAAATTTTAACCATAATAATATTGGTTCTATAATTCAAGCCTGTGAAAATGTCCGAATAATGACATTCAATTTTCGGTCGATTAATCCTCTGGTGAGAAAAAATAAAAAAATAAAAATAAAAACGTTGCATGGATTGATGGCTTAGTATAAACTCAACAAGTCTAATAAGGTGGCTAATTAAGAATTATTAACAAAAAAAAGTCAAACAAAGTGTATTATAGTATTATACTGGTTTCTGTAATATATATATATATATATATATATATATATAGAGAGAGAG